GAAGGACCGAGATTACGACCCTCAAGGAGAGCGTTGCGACTCTCGAGGAGAGCGTTGCGACCCTCAAGGAGAGCGTTGCGACTCTCGAGGAGAGCGTTGCGACCCTCAAGGAGAGCGTAGCGACCCTCCAGGAGAGCGTTGCGACCCTCGAGGAGAGCGTAGCGACCCAGAAGGATGAGATTACGCGCAAGAGGAAGAAAATCAACGACGGCCGAGCGGAAGGAAAAACTGCGGAGGAGGCACTCTCCGCCCGCGTCACAGCTCTCGAGCAGAAGATGCAGGCCTGGGAGAAGAGCCTCGAAGACGTTGCTGAGGAAGCCAAGCATATCTCAGGATCCACCTCCACGCCTACACCCTCATCCTCCACCTCCAGCTCGTGTGTTCGCGTGACGCGCAGCGCAGGCAAGCGCGCCCGCCATGACGAGTAGGTGAGGTGCCTTCTCGCTGGTCGACGGGCGAGTGGTGGAGACCGGCGCGAACCACCTGGCCAGCGAGAAGGCACCTCACCGCCAAGAACGCCCTCGCACCGGTGTTCGACTCGCTCAGCTCCTGTTGAACGGGCCTTCTTGTCTAGAAATATGTGTATATATGTGTATATTTTTTCGTGTTATATAAATAAATAAAAAAACCCAACCACGCAGTCGGGAGGGCGATGGATCAGACGGTGGAGAGAGGGATGGTCTCGTTGACGCAGGCGAGCAGGGTGGTGGCCAGCTGTTGCGAGCCGCGGCGCACTTCGCGGCCCACGATGACCAGGCCAACAGAAACCCGACCCCCTATGTAGGCGATTCATTCGTTTCATCTCAGTTCATCATTCGACTGATGTGTTTCCCGCCCCTCGTGCTCACAAAAAGGAAAGTGCGACGGATTTAGCAGTCAAGCGACGCTTGGGCCAACAATCGCAACAACTCTACAGCGGGCTTGGTGACCAAGTAGCTACTTTGGCCGGCTGTGTTGTTGGAAGGCGCCTTGAAGGAGAGAAGGAAGAAGAAGGAGAAGGCCCTCGGGAGAAGAGGACAGAAGTTAATTACTATAAATCAGGGGGGAAGTGAAAGGTGAAGGGGATCATCGTCATCAACATCGAATCGCAAT